TATTTTTTTTCCCGGTGTCGTTTGGGTGTGTAACATGGCAAAGAGTCCCAGCGGGTGGGATCTGACCTCGTCTCACCTGAGAAGTGGATAATGGAGAAGAGCATGTGTTCTTCCCACTTGGATCAGGGCCTTGCCCATGCTGGGAAGTTTAGTTGCTCCTGCTACAGGGTCAGGCAGTTGTTGCAGGAAAATGTGCCCGTTATTAATCCTCCTGTGTCACATCCAGGGGAAAATAGAAAAGGAATACCAGCAGGTATGTTTATGTCCGCACTGGTTCCTATTGTGACCCATCTTTTACTGATCTCGCTGTCTCTATTCTGGCCGGATAAAGCAGCACATCTGCTGCTGTGCTGAGCGACGGTTCAGCTCTATTTTGGCTGAACCTGATAAAACTTTATCAAATGGAAAAACTGCAAACTGAGCTATTCCATCCATCTCCTCAGGTTTTACAGGCTGTACTGGGTTTGTGTGGCAGGGTTTTTGGTAGCAGAGGAAGAGCTGCAGGGGTGGCCCCCTGTGAGAAGTTACTCAAAGCTCCCCTGGCTCCAACTCAGTCCTGCCTCTGGCCAAGAGCGAGCCAATTATCGATGGTGGCTACACCTCTGTGACAAGATATTTAAGAAGGGGAACCCACAGGGGAGATGGAGGTAGGGGTGAGGGAAACGCTTCTGCTGACACCGAGGTCAGAGAATGAGGAGGTACTCGAGCAGAGTCTCCCCCCAGACCGTGGTGAGGACAGGCTGTGCCCTGCGCCCGTGGGGGTCACCAGGGGAGCAGGTGCTGACCTGCAGGTGGGGAAGGAGGGAGCCAGCGCCTCCATGGCGCTCAGTTACTGTGTGGACTTACACCATGACACAAAACCTAATTTTTTAAGGTCCGAAGCATAATTTTTAGGCTCCAAAACAGCTTTTAAGAACCAAAGGCTCATCTGAGAGGCCAGAAGTCTCAGTTTTAGTCCAAAGTTTCAATATTGCAATCCAAACCCTCACTTTTAGGGTCCAAACCCTGATTTTTAGAGCCCAAAGCTTTGATTCCAGGGCTTTCACCCTCTTTTTTTTATGCTCCAAATCCTCATTTTTAGGATGCAGATCCTTATTTATAAATGCCAACCCTGCTTTTGGGGTCCAAAGACTCCATCCCCAGTGGCGTGAGGCCAAATTTCCCCACCCTACTGTGTTTTGAACCTCTTTCTTAAGGTCTGGGCTGACGGACAGGCATCAGCCGTTCCTGGTTCAGGGACTGCCAGCTTCCTCCCGGGCTGGCGGTGGGGCTGTTTGGAGCAGCAGGTTTCACTCCCGTGGCTCAGCCGCCCTCTCCCTCATGGGACTGATGCGGGGCTGAGGGGAATGTTGGGGGCTGCTGAGGGGGTGGCAAGGCTGAAGGAATTGCAGGGCTGAGGAGGGACAGTGAGGCCTCTCTGTTGAGGTTAAGGGGTGAGGAGAAAAACTAGTCAGTGTTAGGCTAACCTTCATACTTCTTTTTAATTAAGCAAAACTAGGACTGTTAAACTACAGCACTGAGAACTTGTTGAAAAGTTATATACTAGTCCTTGGTCTCATGTTTTCCAGTTTTAAGTTTCTAAAGTCAAAGTCAGTCAAAAGTATTGTGTAGAATATTTCATTCTGCTCATAATATTTTCATAATTGTTTTTTTTTTGCTTAGCTTCTTTAGGCTGTATTTTTTTTTTATGCACTGAAGACTAGAAAGTACATAAGTCTTGACTCCTTGTCTAAAATGTTTCTGGTAAAATTTTTGGTCTTACTTCAGTGTTTTTATTCTTCAGTAGAGAATCTGAAAGCAAATTATTGTTCTTTTCCCTGCCCTTACCTTGAATCGGAAAAATCACATGGTATCTTATTTTTCTGGAGGTGGTGGTGTGTATGGGATTTTTTATTTTAAATTTCCCTAAAATTTCTGAAACTCAGAACACAGTGACTCTTTCCTTGAATTAACTAAAGCTCAGTTATTATTCTTTGCTTCTGCCTCCCTTGGCAGCTGCACCTTCACTAAGGTAGATACATCCGTGTTCAGAAATCCTATATGTGGTGGCTGCTATCTTTCTCCAAGTACAGAGGAAAATCTTTACACCTTTTTTGAGTGTCTTCTGACACCTCTGCTTAGAACATTTCAGACCATAATCGATGGTTTCTGTATCACCTTTTTTGTCAGGGAAGGATTCTGAGGAGCTAGGTGTTTCTTGTGGACACTCATTTAAGTGTTTAAGAGACAGGCAGCTTTTGCCATATGCTCCTTGCCCTGTGCTCCTTACAGAGATTACCTACTTATAGAGATTACTACGGAGGCTAGAGCCTGCATTACCTGCTGCAAAGTATTAAATCTCCTCCCAGGAGCAGGGTGTCCTGAGAATCACAGAATCCTAGACTTGTTTGGGTTGGAAGGGACCTTAAAGATCATCCAGTTGCACCCTCCAGGTTGCCTAAAGCCTCATCTAGAATACCTGCCTGCTTCAGGTGGGAGACAGTCCCCACTTCATGTCTATGTTGGTCACAGAGCACAGGCTGAAATTGGTCACATGGAATTTCAGCTGTCTGGATCTCAGCTAGCTCCCCTGCCCTCTTCCACAGCCAAGGGAAGGAAATGGGTGTCTCCAGGGTGCAATTCATGTAGCTTGGTTTAGAGTTTGTCTTGGGGCGAGATTACTTGTGTCCTGGAAGTGCCTGTTTTGCAGTACTGGCTGTAGTTCTTGAGGGAGACTAGCGGAGGTTTAGACATGAATATGTAGATCTCTGTAACTGGATGATGATAGTCTCTCACTGGAGTTACAAAAGTTTAAGGACTAAATTAGCTGTTTTGTACAGGTAGAATCTTCCGGGGTGGGACGTGGGGGGGACCATATGATAAAAGCATACCAACTTGTGCAAGGTACAAAAATTAAAGTGTTATCTGAACTGAAATGGAGAAATGTTTGGAATCTGAGGCTTTTAAAAACTCCAGTGGCTTCATTAGGACTTCTGAGAAGGTAACTTTGGCATTTTACTACAGAGTATTACAAATCTCTTAATTTCCACTGTCACCTAGGCCTCCCTGTATCTCTGAATCTCTCTGCTACCCCTTCTTCTGTATCTTGTAAGTTAGAGAATGCTGAAAGCTTATTTGTTCCTCTGTCCATATTTTTGCAGATGCCCTCCTCAGCCCGTGGAGGACCCATGCTGGAGCAGGTGGCTGCGCCCAAAGGAGGTCGGGACTCTCTGGAAGCTCACACTGGAGCAGTTTGGGAAGAGCTGTAGCCTGTGGAAAGACTCAATACGGGAGAAGTTTGTGGAGCACTCTCTTGTTATGCTCCAAACCCTAATTTTTAGGACACAAATACTAATTTATAAATGCCAACCCTGCTTTTAAGGTCCAAAGACTCCCATCCCCAGCGGTGTGAGGCTGGGTCCTCATGAGGATACCATGTCCACACTCTACCACGTTTTGAACCTCTCACCAGTTCTGGGCTGCGGGCCGGGTGTCAGCTGCTCCCGGTTCAGGGACCACCAGCTTCCTCTGGGCCGGCGGCAGGGCCTAACACAGCTTCATTCCCTTCCCTTGTGTCCTATCGCTTGAAAGAAGACAGGCTTTTGTTTAAAACACAGAATTGAGAGTTCTTGTTCAGTTCCTTCCTGGTATCATGGATAATTCACAAACTCCTGCTTTTGTATTTAAAGCAAAACATTTGCGTAATACGCCAGTTATAAAGTATGTACAGGGACATTTTGAAAAGCATTTCCAAGGAATTGTTCAACAGAGATGAAACTTAACACTAATGCTAAATAGCAACAATTAACATAGAGCCTACTTGCTGGGAAACACGGTAGTCATCCAGCTCTATGTTTCCACTGTTGCAGCTTTTAGGCTTGGTGTACGTGTAAAGGGTAGACACAGAGAGCGCACCTGAGCCAAATACAGCAGGCTCCCATGGGCCCAGAATGGATTGGGCATGTGAAGCAAGCCTCAAAGCTGGCATAGCCCATCTCCTGCATTTCAGCTGTAGGCCTGAAGCAGAGGTTTAAATAGAAGCTGACTCTTGCTCTGACTACATGTTGGTCTGTACCTCCTTTCCCTGTCTTTGGAAACAACTTCTTAAACTTTCTGTGTTAAAATGTTACATGATGACAATTTCCAGGTGTTTCTTCACAACTTACCCTCTGACTGATTGAGTCCTGTCTGTTTTCCTCCTTTCCTTTGGGCACTCATTTGGAAGTTTTCTGAGCCTGCACTTTGACATGTATTCTACTATAGAAAAGGTTTTTGTGCCATCTCATTCAGTAGGCTGTTGACACGTTTCACTTTTCTTTGTGGGGTGGTGGCAAGAGCCAACATGATGTGGTACCAAAGGCGACTGCAATAAAGATGGAAGGAAAAGTCACCTCTGTGACTGGGAGCAGCTCTGGTCTGAAACCAAGGTGGTAATCTGTATGAGTGTGCCAAGAATCAAACCCTCCCTTCTGGGGGAGGTGTTGCTTTCCTTTGAAGAGCTGGACTGGATTTATTTGCATTTTGCAGCTGTTCTGTAGTGAGAAAGACAACCATCGTTTTACTAAAACAGTCTCCTGGGTTTCCCTCCATAGCTGTCAGCCCATCTCTGCAGCACCATAAATCACTGTTTTCTTCAAATTAAACTGCATTAGAAGAACAGGGTTGAGGTGTTTTTTTCTTTGCTTTCGAGGTGGCTATTGTTCAAACACAGGTTGGACATAGGTATGCCATTAAACAGAAGCACACAAGCAGGTGAGGAATGCTGTACATTCTTCAGGGTTTTCTTGCAAATAGCTAAAAGCTCTGCCAGCCCTGAAGTAGTATGTTCGTGGTACTGTGCTCTATATTAACTAGATTTGAACTTCTGTAATTATTTGACTAGAAAATCTGTAAGGGTCTGAGATGACCCTTCAGGCCTGGTTACAGCACCTTTTATTTTGCACACTCAGTTTAAGACAATAAAGCTTCCACTGTGGTATCTTTTTCCTCAGCAATACAAATTACAGGTCAGGTATGGGTCAAATGCTCCCAGTGCTTGTAAATTAGCCAGTGTGTGAGTTAAATGACTTGGTTAGAGGAAGATAGACAGTACCTGATCAGACATAAACCTTGCCTGTACAAAGCTATGACATCAATGCACTTTTTAAAGAAACTGAAGGAGTAAATTTATCAGCTCTTAACATAGTGAAGCAATAGCATTTCTAGTATAGCATTAAGAACCTTGTAGCTAGAGGTACTATGTGGAAGTGTGAATACACAGGCATGACTTTTTAGTCTGTCTTTATAGTTTTACTGTTACAGCAATTTAACTGATTTCAGTATAATAAGAGAACATCAGTAGCTTTTGTGGCAAACCTACAGAAAACTACCAGAGGAGCTATTATAAATTTAGACTGGCTGAATGTCAGATCTATACTCTTAAGTCAAACCTCAATCCAAACTGTGAATACACATTCTTTATTTCACATCTGTCGTGGTTCAGCCTTGACACTCTGCGTTTCACATGGCAAGACGGATCGGAAAGGTTCCTAGAGGCAGCGTCGCCCCGTCCCCCTCCGCCGTTCCCGCCCGCCATCTCCACAGGGAAAGGGGCTGGCTAGGCCCTGCCCGGCCGGGGGGCGCGGAGCGCCGCTCCTTCCCTGCTCCG